ATTACCTGCAAATGTCCACTTAGTTCTAGAATCGGATCTGCATAACAGAAGCTTTAAAGTGAAATGTAAATCATATACTTCTACTAATTTCCCAAGAAGCTGGTGTTCCACAAGAAAGTGTTCTTGGCCCTATCTTGTATGTACTTTACACATCTGATATCTCAATAAGTAGTTCAGTTATCACCACAAGGTTTGCCGATGATACAGCAATTTTATGCCATTAGTCGAAAATGACTCATTTTGAATGAGCCATTTGAAAGTGTTTACATTCGTTGTATTTTTCATTTGTTCTCATTTTAAACAGCTGATTTTTGCCTGTTGATTTGATTTTTGGCCTGTACCAAAAAAATGTTGCATGAAGGTTAAATATGCCTTTAAACCTTACAATAGCTGCGTTTCAGCAAACATGATCCGCTCAATTTTACATGCAAAACAAAAACAATGGGGTGAACCAGCAATTGATCTGGTTCATTTTCTGGTTCAATTTGGAATGTATGTAAAAGATAAAAGTGGAACGCATTTTAATGCAAATGAGGTTGGCAATGCGATGCAACGGTGCAGTAAAATTGTAAACAAATCTACATTTATATTTATTTATTATTGATTTTATTTATTTATTATTTATTTTATGTACTTATTTATTTAATATATCGTTATTATTTACTTCTTTGTTTAAAGTAATATTTTAACTATTACTATAATTAAAATTATTACTTTATTTATTTACGTTTTATTATTATTGAAAAAGTGTTGTTTGATAATTTATTAAAATCAATTAATTTGAAATGAATATATATAAATTAAGTTGAATACATTTATTTAATTAAAACAGAACAATACATAAGGAACCAGGCTCTCCAACATAAACGTTTATAAAAAAATCATTTTCTTCGCAAACTGCCTGCAAGATTAAGCCAAAGTCATGCTTTCTTTTGAAATAAGCCTATTTGCCATGGTGTGGTGCATTTATATTTACATGGGTACTGTCTATGCAACCAATTACGAACGGGAATTTTTTCGAAATTTCCACTTTTGCATTATTAGCAAGTGCGTATTTTATAAGTTAGTGTCCAATTGATATACGCTTAACACTAGTTCTTTTAATTATTCTCCATACAGAAGCTCTTGGTATGCCAAAACAAATACCAAATTCGCAAAAAGTATTCATATTTGCCATATACCACAAAAATATATAAAATTCCTTCATTGCTCTCGTCCGATTGTGATCATCACGGTTATTTTGCATTCGCTTATTGGAATTTATTAACAAATCTATTAAAAAATTAAACATAATTAATATATAGCAATTGTATTTTTTATGCGCAAATACCAATCAAATAATCTTTAACGGAAAAATTATTGATCGTTTCCACAAAACTTCCACTATATCCATACTGATGCACTTCATCCCTTGAGCATATTATGTTACACTTGAACTAGTATTTAAAAAGGGAATGGAAGAGTCAGTTTCGCTCGAAGATTCTTATGAAATCTGCAATTTTCATTTATTTACTATAGAATAAAACTTAAGTTTTAAACTAAATACTAAATAAAAACTTACATTTCATACTTCAGACAGTTCAACAGATTTTTTTTATTTTCAATTTTTTAGATTTTTTGTATTCAAAATTTTCTCACTTATTTTTTTAGCGCCAAAATTATTCACATAAATCAAAAAATTTTGTGCACAAACCCAACTGGCATATTTCATGCGTTGCCAATTATTTTCAAATGTGATCCGTATCCTTTCAGCAAAGATGATCCAGATCATTGAGCGGATCATGATTGCTGAAACGCAGCTAATATAAACTTAAAACATATTTTTAACTTCGATTAATTACTTTTTGGGAAGTTGAAGTTCTAAAAAGAGGTGTATCGTTTTCATGAAAATGCAACCACCAAACATTTGTTTACCTTTTTTTGTAAATATGTCAAAAACAGCTTTTTCAAACTGTTAAAATGCCATGAAGAGCTTTTATTTGGGGTATGTTTAAAGTATTCCTTTGCATTTGGAACGCATTCGAAAATCGTTGGGACGCATTCATACAGAATGTGATGGAATGGCTCATTCGCGCTTGAAATTTTGTATGCAAGAATGAGCCATTCGCTTCTCATTTTCTATTTTTGACCAAAATTCGCCATTTATTTCGGGTTGAGAAATGGTTGTTAAAATGGCGAATTAAAATGTAGACTGTAAGGATGGAAATTTACCATAAACTTACCATAAACCCACCCCCGCATGCACGTAACTGCACCAAATGAATAAAACTAAGATTACATTGAAAATGCAAGGAATATAAAATATATTTAAACAAATAAATAATACACTTAACTTATTTATTATTTATATTAATACTTTTAATATTTGTAATATTTATTTAAATCTTAATTAATAAATATAAATATTAAACACCGGCACTACTGACACTGAGTAAAGGAAAGCACATTTCAAATATATAAACAGAACAAGAAATGTCAAAAGAGCTTTTATGCAAAGAACTTTGTGCAAAAATTGATGCGCGTCAAATTATTAAAAGAACTGCGGCGAAAGCGAAAAACAGGAACGTTGTCAAAAATGCAAACCAGCTGAAGCAATGTATGCGCTACAGGAAAAGCTTCGGTCGATTTAGTATAAATAAGTGTACGTATTAGAAGAAAAATGAATTATTGGAAAACTCTCGAAGGCAGTCATACGTCTTTGCGAAAACAAGGAATTAGAAATTTGTAGCTTTGTATGAACGTCAAGGTAGTTCATACGTCTTGACTAGTAGCTTTATATAAACGTCAAAGTAGTTCATACGTCTTGACTAGTAGTTTTGTATAAACGTCAAGGTGGTTCATACGACTTGACTGGTAGCTTTGTATAAACGTCAAGGTAGTTGATACGTCTTGACTAGTAGTGAGTAATAAGTCAAGTAGCTTATACATCTAGACTAATAGGTTGATGTTCTGTAATCCGAAATAAAATTCCAAGTTTGAATTCCAAGTAGAGCGATATCTGTCTGGAAGTACTATACAACGTCGAGATCATTTAGCCAAACCCCGAAAGTTTCCATAGGAGGCCAACACAATTCATCATAATATTTACATTGTAACATTTCTTTTTCTTTCTTTTTTTTGAATTATAATTCTAAATAAATCAGTAATCACATATACTAAATAGTCTTTGATTTGGAAAAAAATAAGTTATATTGCAACGACACCTGGACGACGGCTGAGTATACCTCAGCATCATCAGCGACAAAAAGCATGTAATTTTTATCTTAAATTGGAGTACATCTCCAACAATTTTACTAAATAAGTGCTTAGGTATTCACTTAGACAGACAACTAATTAGGCGCAAGCATATTGAAGCCAAAAAATACAAATGAAGCTTATTAATAACAGATCCTCTCTGTGCCTAGAGTATAAAGTACTCTTGTATAACAGCATCATAAAACCAATATGGTCTTATGGTATCCAGCTATTCGGTAATGCTAGTGCTTCAAATATTGAAATTATCCAAAGAGCTCAGTCAAAAATACTGAGTACAATCGCTAGAGCCCCATGGTATATTAGGAATGAAAGTATTCACCGAGATCTACAAATTCCATTAGTTAAAACCGAATTTGACAATATAAGAAAAAAATACAATAAAAGGCTGACAGAACATGTTAACATGTTAACAAAGAATCTCGCGCCGTTACTTCTCGCCTAAAATAAGCTGATCGTCCAGCTATTCAAGTAAAAACTCCACTCTTCTTTTTAGTAATCTGATAAAGCTTAATTGCATACTTAATAAACAACCTAACATCTACTCCAATAAAATTTAACCCATTGATTTAAATGAGGTTCGTGAACTTTATTACCTATATTATTATGTAATAATTGACAAGATCTTAAAACTTATTGTTGGTGTCCTTGTAAGATAAAATACAATAAATAAATGTGCTTCGAGCTTCACTTACTGTACATACTAAGTAGCTACACATGCACACTAATGGTAAGAAAAAACGTGCACAGTTACTTAATAATTCATATCTAAAACCACTATTATTATTGTTTTATTAGTTTAATATAAGAATATTTCGTGTTAAAGTATGATAATGAAACGTTACCGTTTAAAATAATCTGCTCTTATCTGTCAATAAATAATCTGTCAATAAATCTGCTCTTTTTGATGACAAAATACACTATGCCTCTGTATTCGTCAAATGCATGGGTCGATTAATAATTTTTACTTTAATTACTTGGCAATTATTATACCCCATACAAGTCGTTATCCTAATAATATTGCACTCGATATAATATATTCAACTGAGACCCCAACTGAGACCTCAACTAATCTTTTGAATACAGTTTTAAATTCATCCTGAATATAATTTGCTGTACCGCATGCATCTACGTATTTTAATAAAAGAATCACATAATCGGCTACCTCTTGTAGAGTGTTACAATTGTGATGAGTTCTGGCATACGAAAAGATATTGCAGCTTACTTTACTCGTATGAAATCTGTTGGAAATTAAGTTATTTAGCAGACTTTGCAAAACCTAAATATAAACCCTGTCCAAAAAAATATGGCAATTTAATGCATATAACAAAAGAACATTTGACCCAATATGCTAAAAATTTGTAAGAAACTATTAAAAATCAGAGTGTTATATTACAAACTATGCTATAATGACCATAAACTTTCTCAACATAAGTTATATATCCATATATATCATCGGTAGGCGTTCTAAACTGTCAATCTAAAACAAACTAATGGTCTATAAACAAATAGTAGAGCCGGCTTGGACTTATGGCATACAATTTTGTTCAGCGCTTTTAAAGTAAATTACTACGATACATCGTAAATGCTCCATACTAGGAGGGCGGTTTGATAATGCAGTGACTTTTTGAATTTCCCACGCAGTTACTGCAAATGCAATAGTGCTGCCGTCAGCTGTAATCTACCAGTGGGCAACTTTCTAATTTTGAGCAAGTTCAAAGCAGACAACCTCGTGAATTTTTACGAAAATGGAAAAAAGCGAATTTCGTGTGCTAATTAAGCATTACTTTTTACATAAGAAATCCATCACTGGAACTAAGGAAAGACTTGACTACAGGGACTTGGCACCATCAATTTCAATGATTAAGAAGTGGTTCACTGAGTTCCGTGGTGGTCGTACCAGCACTAGTGATGCCGAACGTTCAGGTCGCCCAAAAGAAGTGATCACGCCGGAAATCGTCGATAAAATCCATGAAATGATATTGGATGATCGGAGAATGAAAGTGCGGCCGCATTTGGCGAAGAAGAAAGTGCTGTTCCATCAAGACAATGCACGTGTGCACACTTGTCTAGTCACGTTGGCCAAAATCCACGAATTGGGATACGGACTGCTACCCCATCCAACATATTCTCTTGCAACTATTTTCTGTTTCCAAGCCTAAAGAAATGTCTGGGCGGTAAGAGATTAGAGTCGAATGAAGAAGTCATTACCGAAACAAGCGCGTATTTTGAAAGCTTTGTGAAAACCTATTATTTGGAGGGAATAAGGAAATTAGAAACAAACTGCACTAAATTTATCGAGCTAAAAGGTGTTTAAAACAGATATATATACCTTCTGATCAAAAAAGAACGAGAATTTATAAAAAAAACACAGAATATTGATTTTTAATAATTTTCTTTATTATCGCCTTCAAAGTACTTTCATCCTGCGGCAATACATGCATGCCAATACATGCATGATCCAATTTTCCATACAAGTTTTATACGCCGAAGGTATGTCCTTTAGTTCACGCAGCGAATTCTCTTTTATGGCCTCTATGGTCTCAAAACGCGTTTCTCGCAATGTCAATTTGAGTCGGGGGAAGAGGAAAAAGTCACACGTGGCCATATATGGAGAGTACGGTGCTTGGTTGATGATATTGGTGGAGTTTTTGGCAAAAAATTGCGACACAACCAACGCTGTGAGTTTGCCTTTCATAAATCTGGCCTCTTTTTGCGAATGACCTCACGCAAACGACGCTTAACGGCCAAATAATACTCCTTATTGGCCGTTTGACCATTTGACCAGCCGGAAGGAATTCATAGTGCACCACACCACGAATATCGATTAAAACAGTCAGCATAACCTTGATTTTGGATCAACTTTGGCGTTCTCTTTTCGGTTTCGGCTCACCTTCGAAGCACCATTTAGTTGATTGTTGTTGTCAAATTGATAGACCTATCTGTCATCACCAGTTATGATGCGTTCGATGAATGTGGGGTCAGGTCATTTCTTTGGCCACATCACAACGACGCTTCTTTTGAATGAAATTCAGGTTTTTTGTCACCAGCCGAGAAGCGACACGTTCAATATGTGTTCGGCCGATCCATATGAGATGCCCAACAACACTGCTATTTCTCTAATCGGTTCACAACAATTTTCCGACACGATCTGCTTCGCCGATTAAATGTTTTCTTCATATAATGGTCCAAGCTTGTACCGTCTTTGAACCTTTTATCCCATTCGTTTACTCGTGGTTGTGACACACACATATCACCAAAGGCCTTTTTTATCATTTTCAACGTTTCGACACATTTAAATCCATTTGCAACATAAAATTTAATGCACGCAAGTTGTTCTAATTTTTGATCCATTATAAAAATCGCCACACGAAAAGATATCCCACGGGTAAGATATCCGGGGCTGGGCGTAAAAGGCTGAAGGTTTTACTTCCCAAGAGCATTTCGTTGGAAACAGCTACTTGGCAGTAAAACCGGTCATCGCGACTAAAAGAGCAAGCGACGCCAAAAAGATCCCGATCTGATAGCTCCACACCAACATCAAACTCCAAACCGACAAAGCGGATTGCATTACAGGGCAAAAATGTTGACAATAAATCGACAGTGTCTGCATTTGCTTTGCCGATTTGCAGCAAGATGAAGGAAGTCGAGACCTCACACAGGTGTTATATGATTTTTATGGAAGACCGTATCCTACCGGCTGCGCCAATTTGTCATAAGTTTTTAGGAATACCGACTGCGCCAATTTGTTATATGTTTTTAAGGAAGACTGATACAACTTACCAATTTGTTATAAGTTTTTACGAAGAACGATGCTGAAGAATGATAATGTTATGGTTTTCCCGTATAAGTCACAAGTTGTATCAACTACTGTATTACTTAATTGTTCTACTTATATCTTAGGTTAGGTTAGGTTATACCGGTGATCCCTAGTTGATCCACTTAGTCCTATTGGCCCATTGTGATGCCGTATATAAATAATAAAAACCTCAGGGTTTAAAACCACCTCGAACCTTTTGCGAAGCATAAAATGCTATTTAAAGCCCGATCCTGTAACTGGTCCAGGTCCTCAAGGAGGGGGGCTCCTAGAGTACTAAATCGCCGACGTGCATGAGCTGGACAAAAACACAAAAGATGAGATGCGCTCTCATCGTCCTCCCCACAGCTACGACAGATTTGGTTGAAAGGAAGACCTAGTCTTCTAGCATGGTTCCCTAGTTTACAGTGTCCTGTAGTCAACCCTACCAGAAGACTAATGTCCTTGCGGGACATCTCAATTAGAGTTTTCGATTTTCTTTAATCGGAAAGTGGCCAGATTGCATACAGATGTCTACATATCCTTGAGTCTTCCCATCTTTTGTTAAAAGTATTAGTGCAGAAAGAACTCAATAACAATTTACATGATGTTAGCGATATGCCCAGATAGTTTAGGTGCTCCGAGTAAGGTTCTGAAGCACCCTTTCTGGCTATCTCGTCTGCTTTGCAATTTCCGAAAATATCCCTATGGCCGGGAACCCAGATTAGAGAAATATTGAGCTGCGTCGACATTTCGTTTAGAGATGTGTAGCAGTCAAGAACCGCCCTAGATGTAAATTGGACCGAACTCAAGGACTTTAATGCAGCTTGACTGTCTGATAGTATGTATATATTCCTGCCAAATATATCATCTACATTTAAACAAGGTATAGCTTCCTGATGGCGACCACTTCCGCCTGAAAGACACTACAATGATCTGGAAACCTAAAGAAGGAAGATTTGTTCAATTCCTCTGAGAAAACTCCACTACAGAACCGCCCTAGATGTAAATTGGACCGAACTCAAGGACTTTAATGCAGCTTGACTGTCTGATAGTATGTATATATTCCTGCCAAATATATCATCTACATTTAAACAAGGTATAGCTTCCTGATGGCGACCACTTCCGCCTGAAAGACACTACAATGATCTGGAAACCTAAAGAAGGAAGATTTGTTCAATTCCTCTGAGAAAACTCCACTACCTACACCACTACTTTTTTTGGATCCGTCAGTGAAGATGGTTACGCCCTCATCTATGAAGGGGCCACCTGACGTCCATACCTCTCTAGATGGAAACACGACATCAAATTTTCTGTCAAAGTTGAGAGTGGGTGTGATGTAATCAACGTTTTTAGGAGTAAAATTGAAAAGATTTAGAATGGAAGCATGACCATAGTCACTGGCTCTCCATTGTGAGGTAGCTTTTAGTCTTAAAGCAGATGAAGATGCCATTTGTTTACTAATAATATCCATTGGCAGTAACTGAAGCATCAAATCTAGTGCAATGGATGGTGTGGTGCACAGCGCCCCGCTAATACAGAGTTCAACTCTACGCTGAATCCTGTTAAGTACCGAACAGTACGAAGATTTATCAAGAGCTGTCCACCATACCGTAATACCATACAGCAATATGGGCCTAATAACAGCTATATATAGCCATTGGGTGATGCGAGGTTGAAGACCCCACTTCTTACCAATAGCTTTCTGACATAGAAGAAGCGCAACATTGGCTTTTCTTGCGCGCTCTAGAGTGTTTTTCTTCCAAGTGAGTTTCCTATCGAAAACTATATTTAAAAATTTGGCTTCCTCCTTCACATGTATCACAGAACCTCGTAGAGAGGGTGGAGAAAGATTTGGGACCGTATGTTTTCTTGTGAAAACTACGATTTCAGTTTTATTGGTATTCACCCCAAGGCCACATTTTTGTGTCCAATTATTTAGGATATTAAGACCATTTTGTAGAATATCCCTAAGAGTGGTAGTATATTGTGAGAGAGAGATTAAGGCACTCTGTGGATGCAGTTACCGAAGTAGAAGATCCTGGAAAGTGAGTATGTAGTAGTAATTGTAATGATTCGCTACTATTATTGCACCATGTCCCGTCAGATTTTTTGAGTAACTCTGGGACAGATGGATTTTTGGATAAGATTTTACGCAGTCTAGAGGTTTCAGAATTGCTATTTATTTCTTGACAGTACGATTGCCAACTATCTCTCTTGGACCTCTCTTGGATCACTCTCATTATTATATAATTTTGCTCTATTGAAGAGTCTCCTACACTCCTTTCGTAAAAGACCTAAATGCTTATTCCACTAAGGTGGGTTACATTTTCTACTAGCTTGTGTGAGGGGACAGGCATAATTGAAAGCTTCGTTGAGCACTGAGGTGAGATCTTGGACTTGATTGTCTAGATCAAAAGTGTTCCCAGGGGGATCGGAGGAAATGGTTAAAAGCAGCTCACTTAGCGCTGCATTATAATTCGTCCAGTTTGTGTTTTTAACATTTCTAAACGTTTTTTGATTGTAGATGTTCGACTCATCCAAGGTTAAGGTGAATTTTAGAATCATATGGTCTGAGAACGAGTGTTGAGTGGACACTTTCCAGTTCTTGACCGATTCGTGAAGCCTAGCAGTAGCAAGAGTGACATCTAACACTTCCTGCCTGTTTTTTGTAATAAAAGTTGGCATATTGCCATCATTGCAGATGAACAGATTGTTACTAAATACAAAATCAAAAAGTAACTCACCTCTTTCATCAGTGTTTGAGCTGCCCCAAACCTCATGATGAGCGTTGGCATCGCAACCTATTAGAAGCTCTACTCCGAGTCTCCTGGCGCTGCTTGTTAGCTGTATCAGAATATTCGATGGCAGTGTGGCATGGTCATGCAGATACTGCCCATATTTGGCCCCAGGAGCCCTCGATACTTACTGCGGTTTAGTCACCATCACTATATTGCGAAAGTAAGAGAGCATTAAATTTTTTGTTAACCACTATACAGGACCTGGGCTTACCCTTATTTACCGCATAAAATAGGTTGTAGTTTTTAGCCCTGATTCCGCATACAAGATCCTTATAAATCCATGGTTCTTGTATCAAGACCATATCAGCCTCGTTGTTGCTGAGGCGCTGCAGTAGACAGGCGGATGCAGCCTTGCTATGATGCAGGTTAACTTGCTCTACCCGCATCTTCAGTATGTGTGGATCCATTTCTCTCCACCACAGTGACGTCAAGAGCACTATCCTCCTCAGAGTCATTACTCATTAGAGGTTCGTCTTCATCGAAGAGATAGCGCATGCCTATGCTCTCCTCTGATGTAATTGAGTGAGCTGGCGAAGCAGCAGACACCGAAATGTCCATGCACACA